CAAGTCGTTCTGCTAATATATGACACACGGCAAGTATGCAGACAACGGTATTAACTGATATGAAGGGAACCTTGTATTTAATGCTACCCAATTTGTAATCTGAAGTAGGGTTTCATTAAGGTCATCCGCTTAAAGCGCGTTTTTTTTCGCTTCAGAACGCCATTGGCCTCTGTCTAAGTATCAGGGCATTTGGAAATCTCGCTTGAAACCATGCTTCGACTTCCAGGTACGTGCATTTTCAAAACCATTCTGTGCGAGACGGAAGTCCTCAAAAGTTTGGCGGATTTCCTCGTTGGAACTCATGACGAACAGGCCATCCTGTACCACTGGTTCGTTAAGAGGTTCACCTGTCATCACGATCACCTCAAGTTTGTCGTTATCGGCCGCTGTCAATAACACTCCATCTCCGCCTAGCTCCATTACGATGGCTTGATGAGGCTCAATTGTGTTATCAAGACACCGACCTTTACCGCCAATCGCGTAGACTAGAGCGTTGTGGGTCGAAGAAACAGGGTACTCCAGCTTCGCGCCGGAGTTTAGAATGAAGTGGACGTATGTGACAGTAGCTTCAGTTTCGATTGGACCGCGCTGGCCAAACACTTCGCCTGCAAATACCAATGCCTCGACACTTTTATCCTCATTGAAAGCGTGGGGCACAGACTCGGAGGGCACTTCTTGGTAGCGGGGCTCGACCATTTTGCGCTGCTTTGGGAGGTTAACCCAAAGTTGGAGACCGTGGACGCGGTCCCCATTCTTCGGCATTTCTGAGTGCACAATTCCTCGTCCAGCAGTCATCCATTGCAGATCGCCAGGGCCCAGCTCACCTTCGGTGCCTAAAAAGTCTTCATGGTGCGACTTGCCTTTGGACGATGGCAAGACGTATGATACCGTCTCAAATCCACGGTGAGGGTGGTCAGGGAAGCCTCCTGGAAGCCCATAGAATGCTTCATCCAGTACAAGAAACGGATCGAGTTTGGGCAGCTGAACTGAACCGACGGATCGATATACACGAGCACCGACGCCTTCGCTTTGCTCAGTTGCTACGAATGTTTTGGCGACTTGTCGAGGTGTGAACATCGTGGAATGGATTGGAAGTGTGCTTGCTACGTAGCCAACGAAAAGGTGAATGATTCGAGGAAATCGTTTCTGGCCAAGATACGTCTTTGCATACGTGGACAGGATGATGAGCACTGCAGACTATGGATTGTGGGGAGATGTCGTACGTAAGCTGAAACAAGACCAAATGATGATGGCACGGGTAATGTGTTTATGGCTTCATCTTTTTCCAATTTATTAATTTGTGATATATCGCTGTCCTGTATGATAAGCGTGCGTCTAGACCGGGAGGTAGACTCGACCGACTACCTTGGTAAGGCTGTGTCAGGCGGTGAAGTGTCGGTGTTCCTGTGCGAGGACTTCTCATCACGTGCCAACCCGGGGTACATGATTGTCGTCAACGGTGTATTGTACGGTGGTAAAAGTGGCGAGGCCTACTTGTCGGGCAATAGCTAGCAAATCTAATGTTCTTATAGTTTTTCTTAATTCTGATAAGACCAGCTCGACTTTTTTTGTGAGGCTTTGCCGTCAGCTCAGTGGCACGCAATCTTGGCCGAAACAAACGCTTAATGTGACGTTTACGTGTCATTCGAGAGCGCAATCATTCAATATGCTGCCAATCTACATTAAGTGGCAACATCCATTATCACACAGTACCGGAACCGTTCCGTATTACATATACATATTTTTTGAATGATCACGAAACTCTAACGCACGCGTCAGCTCGATGATGACGACCTTAGTGAATACTGCCATGCCTATTAAAATGGTAGTGGTGGTGGTGGGTAAAGAAATCCGATAAAGCTTTGATCTTGGGTTGAAGAGTTCGAATATCTCGTTGTACGTACGACACAGCGTCGCCTTTCTTAGCTCGTCCAAAATGATGCTGTTATGCCGCGATTATCA